CTGAGCTCTTCCTGGAGGAGCAGATGCTTGACGTCGAGCTCTTCCTTGAGGAGCAGAAGCTGGAGGCCGAACTTTTGCGGCTGCTCGAGCGACTGCTGCTCACGCTGCTGCTGGCGCTACTGGTGCCCGACGCTCCACCGGAGTACCCGCTGTCGCTTTCACATCTGCAACAGACAAACAATACACGTCAGTTCAGGAGACAAACTGCAAAGGGGCGAAGGGAAAATGTATATATCACAAGCAAACAAACCTCAATTATCCTCCCATTTTCTATAACAGTCAACCGAGTGTCACATTTGCAATGTTTACACTCATCGATGACGACAGCAAATGCAAACATTCCCTCCCCTCCCCCTCCCCATCCCCTTCCCCCCGCACCGCCCCTTTTCCCCACAGCACATAACATGCAAAGCCACGCACAGTACACGTCCCAGCCACAGCCTCCGTGACCCGATGACCTAGCATGCAAGCTAAATATTGTGCGATCTTGACTTCGTTCCTCGTTTTGACCTGTTTACACAAGGCGCATCGCAGGGTCACCCGCAACACGGAATGGATGCGAGGGACGTGAAAGGGAAAATGATAAGATAATGGTAGTGATGGTGATGATGATAAAGATGTCAAACCGTCTCCATTCCTGAGAGAAAGAGAGAAAGAAAGAAAGAAAGAAAGGAAGAAAGAAAGGAAGAGAGAAAGAAAGGAAGAGAGAAAGAAAGGAAGGGAGAAAGAAAGGAAGGGAGCGAGAGAAAGAAAGAAAAAAGAAAGAGAGAGAAAGAAAGAAAGAAAGACAAAGAAAGAAAGAGAGAGAGGAGGGAAAAGGAGGGAAAGAAGAAAAAATAATGAAAGACAAAAAAAAAAGGAATGAAAAGAGAAGAGAAAAAAAACACAAAACGAGAAAGAAACGGAAACACAACAGCAGAAAGAGAATCTAAAACAAAAAAAAATAGACCAACAAAGCGAAACTGCGAATAGTGAGAGAAAAAGAAAAGAAAAAAAAACACGCCCACACTCTCACCCTCTCAATGAGCGAACACGCGCGCTCTGGGGCCTTGGCAAGCTCTCCAGCAGCTCTTGAGGAGTACGCCCTATCCCACGCCCACGCCCTTTCCTATACGAGTCCCTGCTACGCCCACACACCCACGACTTGAATAGAGGATTGTCTGAGTTCGTGTCCTTGAAACTACGATTACGCTCGGGAAAATATTTCTGAATGGTTGTTAATGAATGTACTGAATGGAAGTAATAATGATTATCGTAATGATTCTAATACCGACAACCACAAAGGATAATAATAATGCCAGTAACAATGCCACTCTAGCTTTTAAATAACCATACCTCAACGACGCCACCTTCCATTATTACCATGAGTAACACCGTCATCATATTCCTCCTCTTCCTCTTTCTATCATCATCCTTGTCATTATCAAAATCATCAACTCATTATCATTATAAATATCCTAGTCCTCCTCATCATCCTCATCACAATCTTCCACATCCTCGCCATCATCATCATCACATCATACTCTTCCTCCTCGTCATCACCACCATCACCATCCTCAACATCACGTCCACCACCATTGCCATCTTCAACATCACGCCCACCACCATCGCCATCTTAAACATCACGCCCATCCCCGCCAACACCATACTCAACACCACGCCCATCACCATCCTCACCAACACCATCCTCAACACCACGCCCATCACCATCCTCACCAACACCATCCTCAACACCACGCTCATCACCATCCTCACCAACACCATCCTCAACACCACGCCTATCACCATCCTCACCATCCTCAACATCACGCCCATCACCACCATCGCCATCCTCAGCCCACCAAAACAGACTGGCTCCGAACCCCGTTAAAAGAAACACGAAACGAAAATTCTTCTCTACGAAACGCGGGATGTAATTGACGCGTTCGACGTTACAGTCAGGAATACGCACAGCTAACTTGCGCAAATATAACATCAAAGTAACACTTCTTCTACAGCCTTTGCTTTGATAAATTATTCGCTTTCTCCCCCATTCGTTTTCTACTCGTCATTTCGCTTTGCAAAATCCGAACTACGAGAAGACCGTAGACAAACAAACAAAGAAAAAGTAACACAAATCACATTACATCTCAAAAAAAAAAATCGAATCCTAAAAACCTCCCAATTGTCTCGCATGACGTTACCCCCCCTCCCTCCTAACTCCCTCCCTTCCCCCCTCCCAAAACACACTCCCCCCCCTCTCCCCTCCCTTTTCCTCTCATTGGCGGCGACTGGAATGCTGTCTGTAATCCGCCGGGAACGCGTGTCAGTCAGGGAAGGGCGCACTAGCCTGGAATGCCACCGATAAATGTCACGGGGAAGGAGGAGGATGAGGAGGAAGGGAGGGTGAGAAAGGAAGGAAGAAGGAAGGAGGATGAGGAAGGGGAAGGAGAAAGAGACGGAAGGAGGAAGAGGAACGAGAAGGAGACGAGGTGATGAAGGAGGAAGAGGAGGAGGAGGA